GCGGTGGCTCACGCCTGTAATCCCGGAACTTTGGGAGGCCGAGGCGGGTGGATCACGAGGTCAAGAGATCGAGACCATCCTGGTCAACATGGTGAAACCCCGTCTCTACTAAAAATACAAAAAATCAGTTGGGCATGGTGGCGCGTGCCTGTAATCCCAGCCACTCAGGAGGCTGAGGCAAGAGAATTGCCTGAACCCAGGAAGCGGAGGTTGCGGTGAGCCAAGATCGTGCCATTGCACTCCAGCCTGGGTAACGAGTGAAACTCCATCAAAAAAAAAAAAAAAAGAAAAAAAAGAAAAGCAATATAGAGCTTCTTAAGGCGACTATATTCCAGACCCACATGCAACACCGTTGTACAGTCATAGCCTTGAGCAAGTCTTCTATCAGGAAAAAACTTTATTCAAGTGATACAGAATTTATTATACTGATAGCTCAGAGGAAATTGAGACCAAAGCAGTTTCTTTTTACATTCCAAATTGTTGCAGTCCGGTGCAGGATATTGATGGTACTTTGGTGGTTTTGTCCATCAGCAATGGCTACAAATAAATGCTTCATTGACAAACCCCTCCTGAAACTCAGTGTCTGCAAACAGTGATACTTTGTTGCTGCTCCTGAGTCTATTTATGGGTTGTCCCATCTAACATTTCTACATGATGAAACTTCCGCTCACTTCTTGGTGCCTGCCTAATTCTCCTGATCATCACAGGATTAGTTTTGGCCGTACGCTATACATCAGAAACCTCAACTGCCGACTCTTCAGTCGCCCATATCAGCTGAGATGTAAACCACACTATTTTATTTTTCATCCGCCTCTTCTCTTACACGTTGGCTGAGGCTTGTGCTACGGGTCATTTATATTCCTAGAAACCTGAAATATTGGCATTATCCTCCTACTCACGACTATAGCAACAGCATTCGTAGGCCACGTACTCCCATGAGGCCAAATATCATTCTGAGGTGCTACAGTAATTACAAATCTACCATCAGCCATCCCATATATTGCAACTGACCTTGTAGAATGAATCCGAGGCGGATTCTCAGTTGACAAAGCCACTGTCACACGATTTTTGGCCATGCATTTCACCTTACCCTTCATCATTACAGCTCTAGCAACTGCTCACCTTTTATTCTTGCAGGAAACAAGATCTAACCACCCTTCAGGGGTTTCATCAGACCCCAGCAAAACCACTTTCCACCCCTTCTATACAACCAAACGTAGTCTAGGTTTAATTTTTCTCCTCCTCCTTCTAATAGGACTCCTGCTTATTGTGACTATTATATGGCCCAGGTCTGCTGATGTTGGCTGAGCTCTCTCCTGTGACGGAGGTAGCAAGTTGGCATGGTGGCCAACTGGGGACTGTGGGATGAAAGTTGCCCAGGTGCCAAGGCAAGAGACCGAAGGCACAATCTGTCCCAGTACAGTAAATAACTGATTAGTTTTAGCAATGATACCAAGTATATTTAGAAACAATCACATAATCAATTATATAATCAATCTTATTAAATCATTATTCTTTATTAATCTTTGCTTTAGTATTATAGCATGGAATCAGTTTAGCCTTACAGTATAGACATAATCGGGTGAAATACAGTTAGGAACTGAAGGGACATTGTGAGACGTGAACAGGAGGCGAGAGCGAGAGCCTTGCAGTAGCACCAGTGCCTGGGAAGGCACCCGTTACTTAGCAGGCCATGAAGGGGTTTCCCTTTCACTGGGGGAGTTCAGAGAACACTCTGCTCTGCTCGGCTCTTGAAGAAGGCCTGACATTAGCCAGGCCGGCCAGCAGACATCCAGGGGCTTAAATGCCTCTCTGAGGTGCTGTGCTCCGACCGTCACCATCCTTGTCCACTTTCATGTTCTGCTTTCCCACGTGGAGCTCCTTTTAAGTTCTTAGAAGTTGTGAGAAGTAAGAACAGAGGAATCCTAAAAGCCTTTGATCTTTCTTATAAGTGCATAGAAAGATGCTGACAGATGTATCTTCCCTCCTTGCAGCGGCTACCTGAAAGGGAGGGGCCCCCTGTACTGTAAGCATGTGATTTGCTTGACCCTACCAATCATGTCAGATGAGTCACTCTCCTTACCCTGCCCCCCTGCCTTGTGTACAATAAATATCAGCACATCCAGGCATTCGGGGCCACTACTGGACTCTGTGCTGTGGTAGTAGTGGTCCACCAGGCCCAGCTGAATTATCTTACCCCTGAGTCTTGTGTCTTTCTTTCCTGTGATCTATCATCTCTGCACAGAAAAAAATACCCACTAGACCCTGTGGGGCTGGACCCTACAGGGGACAACCTTCACTGGTGTCACTGCGGTGACTTACCTTTCATCCTGTGTTTCTCATGTGTCTTACCCAAGCAGGTAAGCTTGGGCATGTTCTCATGGTGGGGGTAAGGAAGCAAGGCAAGGAAATCTAATCATGTAACTGGCAAGAAGGATGACACCCACAATTTTGAAACTTACATTCGAGTCACATTTCCTAACATTCCATTGGCTGAAGCAAATCTCAAGTCCAGCCCCAGAGTCAGACAAGGAGAGAGTTACAAAGTCACAGGAAAGGGATGTGGATAGATGGAGACCATTACTGGGGCTACTGATGCCATCAACCTATGACAATGGCTATGGGTAGGAGCAGTGCCATCTCTTGCTTCCATATCTCTCAGAACTATCACCTCTGTATTGAGCACTCTGGAGAAGCCAAGCATTGAAGACTAATTTATCATAGATGAACTCATGTTCATAAATATGTGTCCCACCTCCCAAGTTAGGCTGGCAAGAATAACAAAGACAGAGCCTCCATCAGCTGAGTTTAATGTTGTTAACAAATTGTCCAGTGCACAATATTTCTGAGCTAATTGAACCCTAAGTGCTTAGGTGACTCAGAGTAAATATGTAGTCTAGTCTCTGTGCCCCTAAACTAAGTATTCCTGGCATGAAAGGAAGAGAAAAAGGGAAACAAGGCATCTGGAGAAGGAGCTTTATCATCAAGAGCTCAAATCCAGCTGAATGACTTATGTGGCTGTGTGATCCTGGGATAGTCACTTAACCTCTCTGAGCTTCAGTTCTCTTGCCTGCAAAATGAATAGTAATCATTCATCCATTCATTCATTCATTCAACATTTTTACTGAGAATCTACTTAATGGAAATCCCTGTCCTTATGAAGCTCTTAATCTATGTTGCAGACACCCAAGAAAAAAGGAAATTATAATACAGGGTGAGAAAGTATGAAGCTCTTTGGCACATACAGACATGACACCATGTCTTCCTTTCATGCCAGAGGGGATGGCTACACTGCAGCTTAAAGAGACAGCAGACGTCAATTGGGTTTTGAGGGAAGTTATTCTAAGATAACGTGCAAAGGGCCAAAGTCAAGAGGAAGACATTTTTCTCTCTGGTTTTAAAGACAAGCTCTGCTGTCAGGATGAAAAACAAAAGAATGTTCTACAATACTGCTTTTCGGACACCATAGCTATACTCATCCTCTGGGGATTTGGTTAACATGCAAGTTTGATCCTGGAGGTCTGGAGTGGGGTCTAAGATTCTTCTTTGCTTTTCTAACAAGCTCTCAGGTGATGCTGATTGGTTCAGGGACCACACTTTGGATTGGGAGGTTTTAGAGTGTCCATAGGAATGAAGATATCTACATTTAAACTATCATCTTCTCTCTCAAGCTCAAGAATTTAAGGATGGTGGCCAGGCGTGGTGGCTCACACCTGTAATCCCAGCACCTGCCCAGAGGCAGGTGGAACATCTGAGGTCAGGAGTTCAAGACCAGCCTGGCCAACATGGTAAAACTCCATCTCTACTAGAAATACAAAAATTAGCCAGGCGTGGTGGTGCACACCTGCAGTCCCTGCTACTTGGGAGGCTGAGGCAGGAGAATTACTTGCACCCGGGAGGCAGAGGTTGCAGTGAGCCAAGATCGTGCCTCTGCACTCTGACCTAAGCAACAGAATGAGACTGTCTCGGGAAAAAAAAAAAAAAAAAGAATGTAAGGATGGATAGTGATAACTGTGAGCACAGCAAATCCCAGCCGAGTCATTGGAAAGTTTCTTGAAAGAAGGGAGTTGGCTGGGCATGGTGGCTCACACTTGTAATCCCAGCACTTTGGGAGGCTGAGGTGGGTGGATCATCTGAGGTCAGTAGTTTAAGACCAGCCTGGCCAACATGGTGAAACTCCATCTTTACTAAAAATACAAAAATTAGCCCGGTGTGGTGGCGGGTGCCAGCGGTTCCAGCTACGTGGGAGGCTGAGGCAGAAGAATCACTTGTACCCGGCAGGGAGGCAGAGGTTGCAGTAAGCTGAGATCATGCCACTGCCCTCTGGCCTGGGCAACAGAACGAGACTCTGTCTCAAAAAAAAAAAAAAAGATATTTAAGGATGGGTAGCGATAATTGTGAGCAGAGCAAATCCTAGCAAAGTCATTGAAAAGTTTCTAGAAAGAAGGGAGGTCGGTTGGGTGCACATTTGTAATCCCAGCATTTTGGGAGGCTGAGGCAGGTGGATTACGAGGTCAGAAGTTCAAGACCAGCCTGGCCAACACAGTGAAATGTTGTCTTTACTAAAAATACAAAAATTAGCTGGGCGTGGTGGTGAGCACCTGTAATTTCAACTATTCAGGAGGCTGAGGCAGGAGAATCACTTGACCCAGGAGGTGGAGATTGCAGAGAGCCAAGATCTTGGACAGAACTAGACATCGCCTCTTAAAAAAAAAAAGAAAGAAAGAAAGAAGGGAGGTCTAGGTTACCCAGAAGATCCCAGGAAACCAAAGCAATTTTCAAAGAGTATTGTCATCAAGTGCTTCAATCCTCCAGGAAGTGCTAGAATTCTGCTGCTACATCAAATGTCTCCCTGCTTACCAACATCACTTTTTTAAGTGTTTGTGCCAAAGTAGCTTCTCTATGTGCCGTATTGGTTCATTGGGACTCTCATTACAGTTTTACTGACCATTTCTTTAAAATCACAAAGAGTCTTTGTCCTAGGGTAAATCAGTAAGGCGGATGACAAGTCATTTATTGAGAGGTCCTCTGTGTCAGGCGCTGGAGGGCCCGCTTAGAAACACGCACCAAGAAGGGCAGGATAAAGCAAAATGGTGGCCAGGTGTCCTTCGTCATGCCATTGAATTGGGGTCAGTTCTCAAAAACTCTGGAATTCAAAAAGCTGCAGAGCACAGAAGATAAAACGGTGATTTGGAGCAGAAACCCCTGATTCTCATCAGTGCACACAATCGTGGGAGGACAGCTGCAAACATTCTTCCCCAGAGAGTTCTGGGGCAGGTGGGATCCTCATTTCCATGTTAAGCTGTGAAGAGAAGATTTCGGGTAGGCTCCTGCAGGAAACTAGTGTCCTCAGCTGTTGCCCCATAGCACATTTGAAAACAAGAAAGAAAGGACTTTACCCCTGTGAGAGAGAAAAGAATTTTCTCAGAGTCTGCAGCAGAGTTAATACAAATGTGATTCCAAGGATCATATCTACAGGGACAGGAATATTAAAATAATACAGTAACAAAGACTAGAAGGGGGCTGGGTGCAGTGGCTCACACATGTAATCCCAGCATTTTGGCAGGCCGAGGTGGGTGGATCACCTGAGGTCAGGAGTTCCACACCAGCCTAACCAACATGGTGAAACCCCGTCTCTATAAAAACACAAAAATTAGCTGGACATGGTAGCACGTGTCTGTAATCCCAGCTACTCAGGAGACTGAGGCAGGAGAAGCACTTGAACCTGGAAGGCGGAGGTTGTGGTGAACCGAGATCAAGCCACTGCACTCCAGCCTGGGTGACAGAGCAAGA